GGGTAGACTTGTATGGGATTTTGTTCTTAATAACTGAATAGCTAAATAAGACATACAGAGCTATATATTTTAGTGCTTTAGCCTACAATTGTCACCTTGTTCTAGGAAGGACTATGCAGGCCTACCTACATGCACATCTTCTGCTCGAGGGAGAACTCTTATGTTTGGTCTGGTTTAAAGCCAGCCCTGCCATTAGACACAGTAAGGCAGCCATGAAAAGTAAAGTGGGAAACAGCCGTTAAGCAGCAGGGAGCTCTGTGTACCCAGTGAGGGTTAGAATCTAACAGAGGAGATTGCTGATCTAGTCAGAGAAGTTTCCTTGTAATAGAATGGCTTTAGCTGACCCCTCAAGTGTCCTCTTCGGCATCCAAAATGAATGAGCTAGGCTACCACTAGGTGATGGTGCCTTCCAGACTAATAGGGGGGCCTTTCATTCACTTGTGCTCACCTAAATGCTAGATAGGAAAACAATAGTCTGGTGGGTGGGTGTGAACTGAGCTGGAAGCAGGCTGGAAGATGGAGAAACAGAGAATGCTGGAACTGTGCTATATCGAAAGATGGGACTGACAGAGAAACAAGATCTGTTGGGGTGCTAAATGAAACTAGATATCCTACATGCACTACAGAAATAAACCCTGGTTTGATTACACCTGTTTTGAGGCCAAGAGAGCCCTGCAAAATGCTTACAAAGCCGCCCTGACAGCTGAAAATTCTGTCAGACAGCAAGCCTATCTTGCTGTCCGTGCCCTAAAAAAAAAGAGTATAAAGACCTAATAATCCACCAAAATAACAGCTATACCAGAAAATGTTGGCTGGAATTAATTAGTGCGGCAAAAGCAAAAGATCAGACACTATTCCGGAAATTGGTAGCTTCTGGCACCCATAAGGCTATTTCCCCCTTAACCTCACAAATTCCCCCTAACCTTTAGGGCTCATTCTTCCAATCTTAGTATGAGGACGCTGAACCTCCATTATGGAATTATAATATAGAACAACTGGCTAAATGGCCACCAGTTTCAGTAACTGAAGTGAAATCATATATAAACCAACTGAAAACGGCCAAAACCCCAGCCCCAGAAGGCATTATGCCAGAAACGATAAAAGCACAGGCGGATTTGTGGGCACCTTTCTTAGACATCCTCTTTACTTACATAGATGACACTGGTAGCATCCCAAGGGAATGGGGAACAGCCATAATTGTCCCATTCTATAAAAAGGGTAATAGAGGGGACCCAGCAAATTACATTCCAATCGGCTTAAGTGTGATTAGTAAACTCTACTCAAAGCACCTCCTTAATAAGTTGACAGAATGGCTAGAGAATGAAGATCCTGGCAATAGAACAAGCGGGCTTTAGACCCGGAAGGTCCATGATAGATCACTGTCTAACGTTGCAACATCTCATCAATAAATACAAATCAGGAGGGCGGGCCTAACTATATGCTGCTTTCGTTGATCTAAAAGCAGCCTTTGATACAGTCTCCAGAACCAGACTCCGGGACAGACTACAGGGTACCACAATAGATAGAAGGCTTCTGTTCCTAATTCAGGCACTGCACGCAAACACTGCTCTTAGAGTCAGATGCCTAGGACATCTAACAGACCCCATTAAAACCTTCAAGGGAGTCAGGCAAGGGTGCCTTTTGGCCCCCCTACTATTCAATTTCTATTTAAATAATTTAGGATCTGCACTCAATGACTTAGAACTTCACCCTCTGAAGCTCGCAAATCGGCATATTTCGGTCCTGTTATATGCTGATGATACGGTAATTTTATCTAGAACCCCCATTGGACTCAAAAGAGCACTAAGAAAGCTCGCAGCATACTGTGAAACTGAATGTCTCAAAATCAACTATCAAAAGACCAAGATACTCACTTTTGGGGGAAAACCAAAGCTTAGAAGCTGGGAACTTCGAGGCCATAAATTAGAACAAGTCACAAATTATAAGTATCTAGGAATGGTGGTACAGGCCTCAGGAACAAACTTCACATAAACTTCATCGGGAGCTCAGCAGAAAAAACCGCAAACTGTATTCTTAAATTTTTTAGAGCACAAGGGGGCTTTTTCGTCCCCGCGGCACTAAAATTATACAAGGCCAAAATGTTGACACAGCTCCTTTATGGATCCTTTCTGGGCCCACCTTCCTCTGCTTTCTCCCCCCTTGAGAGAGTTCAGTCTAAACTCCTTAGAGCTCTCCTACAAGTCCCCAGATGTGTTTCAAATGCATGGATTAGACTAGAAACGGGGATGATGAGAGTGGAGGCTTATATCTGCCTAACATCAATTTACAAATGGCTGACATTGATTGAATCTGCTCCCCCGAGGAATAGCCTCACTGATCCTCTGTGACCAGTTCCAGTCAGGCTGGCTGACAACAGTCCTGAACACCCCTCAGAAACTGGGTTTTGCCCCTCAAGCCCTTCTAAGTCTGGGGTTAGGCCAGTCAAAAGCTATGATCAGGCAAAGAATCACAGACAGCGAGAGACAACAGGACTGCTCAAGGTGCCCTGACTATAAAATTGGAGAAATCGAGAGATATATAGCCACACTGGCAGCATATCTCTTCTTTCTCGTATCCAAAAATGCTAGAAGGGCCTTTACACTCACCAGAAACTTGGCTCTGCCCTCGCTGGTCCTGGAAGGAGCCTTTTAAAAAGTCCTATATGCTCAGAGACTTTGCGCCTGTTCATTGGGGGATATAGGAAGCCCAGAGCACTTGTTCTTTAGATGTCCCTTTTATGAAGAGACATGTAGAAAGACCATTGATCCCCTACTGGTGAGGCTCGCTGACCTACCGGAAAAGCAAAAATTTGACCTTTTCCTGTTAGGCAGAGATCATAAGACGACACGGATAGTTGCCAGATTCTGTGTACAGATCTGTAGGCGCAGACCATCCCCCGACTCAGACTAGTTCATGAAGAAAATCCCCAAACTCAGTTCCATGGGTGACTCTGGGTCACATCTATGCGGTAGCTTATCTTAAAGTTTTAAGTGTCTATATGCTTATCACATTTATAAATTTTAAATTTATTGTGGTACATTGTTTTAACTGTTTGTTTTCTTTCTGGGATTGTACCCCAAGTGTGTTTTATAAGCTGGTCTCCGACCGTAATAAATTATCTATCTATCATGCACCACAGTCTTCGCTGAGCTTCATTCCAAGGAAAACAAAACCTGAAAAAGTGCTGGAAACCTTAAAATCTCCCACCACGTGGAGATTGGGTCTCCCTGGAACAGTATTAACATTTCTTTGGAGGATGATTACATCTGATACCTTCACTGTAGTCCTCTCATTTCACATATATACACTGTTCACTCTGCTCTCCTCCCATCTCACATTCTAACTACTCAAATGCCTCATTTACACATCAAGCAGTACTCACCCATCCCTAAAAATACACAACCCATTCTCTCATGCACACACTCTTTCATATATATGTGTGTGTGCACCGCACACAGAGACACACATGCACACAAAGCCCCCATTCATATCCCCAGTCAGAAGCACTGTAAAAGGGCAATAATGATAGAACACATGTAATTTGATGGGATCAGAAACTACCTACCTGTATGACTACGAAGAAAGTCACTTGACATTGGAAGTGCCCCACCACCACCTTCAGGAATGTTTTCTTTCTGTGACTCAGTGATTCAGCTACAATGTACCTTTAAGTCCTCAATAAAGTAATCGTCCTGCTAAGCAAAGAGTGTGTGACTGATTTCATTCAGGGTCATGTCTACCCCATCTGCTGAGGTTAACGAAAGAACTATATCTTTCTGCCACTGTGCCTTAAAATCCTTTTGCAAGTATTCATATGGGAACAAACATTTTTATACTAATTAGAGCATACATTTTTTTTATCAGGGAATTTAATCTCCAAGGAATAAGAAAGATCCAGAGACTCAGAAGTTTCCATTTCCATATTATTGGACCAGCTAAAAGGTAGACCATTAACAGACACAACTTTATTAATTGAGCTTGCAAGCAACACAGACCACATTTCCAAGGCAAGGATGAACTCAGTTCAGCTGCTTCTCCACATAGTATAAGCTCTTTCCATATCCCTCTAGCCCTGCAGATAAATGCTTGTACTACCACGTGAGGTATGAAAGCAACCACCCTAGTTCTTTAGATTCTTTCAGAAATGTATATTCTATCTTTCTGAATATTAGGGCACTTCTGTACACCCAGATGAGGAAAGTCTGTGTACTTCCTCCAAGTTAATTAAAATGGCCAACCAAGATTGCTTCTGTCCTACCTTGAATACATTTCACTTGATTTTCTTCCAAAACTATGAAAAGTTTAGAATTTGCGGTGCCTCGCCAGGATTGAATTGTGGAAGCAATAAGTAAGACCTGGGTGTCATCAGCATTGTGATGACATCCCACCCCCAAACTACAGGTAACTTCTTCAGGTAGATGTCAAAAGCATGGGAGACAAGATGCAACCATTCAGTGCCTACCTGTCAAAGGTCACATTTTAGGGAAACAGAACCCAGCACCAACTTGTATTTCAGGAAGTAGCATAAGCACACAGAACAATGTTTTTTTCTTCTTCCCCAAAACCTTCTTACCCTTATGGTCCAGAAGAATTCTATGCTGGGTGTGGATAAAGGAAATCAGAATCCAAAGAAATCTGGAGGACCCCAGGTTTCCCACTCATTTTAGGCTAATTTGGGAACACATGCATTCAGCTCTGCCACCATTTTTGCATTGCTTCTTTTTTGCAAATTTTGAGAGCCTCTTTTTGGGGTATGTTTTCTAATAGCTCAATGCTCATTGTATCAGGGTGAATACTTTACTATCAACTCCAAATACAAAGGGGATCCATATGTTCTCTAAAATGTTTAAAAATGTGGCAAAGAACATAGACAGTTCTGTTGCATTACAGATATGTTTAAATGAAGAACATGCTTAAGTACTTTACATAACAAGGCTAGAGGACTTGAATAAAATCTAACATGCAATCTAATTAATTCGACAGTCTGTTGATATAGTATTTTATAGTAAATGTGAAAATGCATTCTTATCCATCACTCTCTTCATTGCCTCCTTCACCTCCTTGTTCCTCAGACTGTAAATTAAGGGGTTGAGCATTGGGATGACAAAGGCATAAAACATTGACACAACTTTATTCTGATCCTCTGAAAAGTTGGAACTAGGTTGCAAATATATAAACATGCCAGTTCCATAGAATATGATCACAGCAATCAGGTGGGAGATGCAGGTGGAAAAGGCTTTCTTGCGGCCCTTGGCTGACTTCATCTGGAGCACCGTGAAAAGGATGTACAGGTAAGAACTCAGTATTATCAAGAGAGAGCCTAACATATTGATTCCAGCACAAATGAAAACTAGTGTTTCAGCTATGGATGTATCAGAACATGAGAGCTTGAGTAGTGGGGGGATCTCACAGAAGAAATGGTTGATTTCATTAGACTGGCAAAAAGACAAAGTACCTACCAAAGTGGTATGAATGATTGAGTTCAAGAAGCCGGCTGTGAATGCTCCACCAGCCATCTTGATGCATCGTGTGTGTGACATGATTGATGTGTACAACAAAGGGTTGCAGATGGCCACATAGCGGTCATAAGCCATTAGCCCAAAAAGCATGAACTCTGTACTTGCCAGAGCAACAAAGAAATACAGTTGGATTATGCAACCCAGGAAAGAAATGGTTCTCCTCACTGATAGGAAATTGCTTAAGGCTTTGGGGGTGATGTTGGAAGAATAGCAAAAATCTAAGAAAGCCAGATTACTGAGGAAAAAGTACATGGGGGTGTGAAGCTGAGAGTCCATTCTGATCAGCAAAATCATCCCTAGGTTGCCCACCACAGTGATAACATAGATCAGCAGCAACAATGTGAAGATGGGAATCTTCAGTTCTGGTACATCTGCAAGTCCCACAAAGATAAATTCAGACACAACACTGGTATTTTCTGTAGACATTTTTGTAGCTGATTTATTCCTGCTATTTTTTATTTCAAATGAACATGGATCTTCATATGATTCCAGTTGGAGGAGAGGATGGATTCAGCTGGGAAGAGCGAATGATATACCTTCAGTAGTCATAACCAAAAAAGTCTGCCTGTACTAAGTAAAGGGCATTTCTTGGGTTGTCGATATGTACCGACTGCTTGTGTGCCTTACGTTGTAGAGCATGATTTTTATTTTTCTTCTCAATCTGCAGATATAAAATAAAATAAGCCTCATCTTAATGTCTAGGGATATTACAAATAATATTTCTATAATTTAACAAATATCATTTTGCAACGTTCCATTCCTTAAACAATGTTTTTTTCCTTCAGTTTTCTGGAAAATCCATTATCTTTAAAATTTACAGTAATATTTTGCTGTATGAATTTGCATCTGCTTTCTTTTCATTTTCAGGTTTGAGAATTTAAGATGCAATTCTTCTATCTATCTATCTATCTATCTATCTATCTATCTATCTAAATTATAATTATTTGAAGCTGTTATCCTAGGCTTACTTACCTGGGACTAAGCCACATTGCATTCAGTAGGAAATACTTCAGGGTAGACTTGTATGGGATTTTTTTCTTAATAACTTAATAACTAAATAAGGCATACAGAGCTATATATTTTAGTGCTTTAGCCTACAATTTTCACCTTGTTCTAGGAAGGACTGTGCAGGCATACCAGGGGCCTGCTACATGCACATCTTCTGCTCGAGGGAGAACTTATGTTTGTGTCAGGTTTAAAGCCAGCCCTGCCATTAGACAGAGTAAGGCAGCCATGAAAAGTAAAGTGTGAAACAGCCGCTAAGCATCAGGGAGCTCTGTGTACCTAGTGAGGGTTAGAATCTAACAGAGGAGATAGCTGATCTAGTCGGAGAAGTTTCCTTGTAATAGAATGGCTTTAGCTGACCCCTTAAGTGTCCTCTTCGGCATCCAAAACGAATGAGCTAGGCTACCACTAGGTGATGGTGCCTTCCAGACTAGTAGGTGGGCCTTTCATTCACTTGTGCTCACCTAGCTGCTAGAGAGGAAAACAATAGTCTTGTGGTTGTGTGTGAACTGAGCTGGAAGCAGGCTGGAAGCTGGAGAAACAGAGACATGCTGGAACTGTGCTATATCCAAAGCTGGGACTGATAGGGAAACAAGATTTGGTGGGGTGTTAATGCTGTGAGCCCCTCCATCTTATGCTCAGGTTATATACTGTATGTGTCTAAATAAAACTAGATATCCTATATGCACCACAGTCTTCACTGAGCTTCATTCCAAGGAAAACGAACCCTGAAAAATTGCTGGAACCCCTAAAATCTCCCACCATGTGGAGATTGGGTCTGCCTGGAACAGTATTAACATTTCTTTGGAGGATGATTCCATCGGATACCTTCACTGTAGTCCTCCCATTTCACATATATACACTGTTCACTCTGCTCTCCCCCCATCTCACATTCTAACTACCCAAATGCCTCATTTACACATCAAGCAGTACTCACCCATCCCTAAAAATACACAACCCATTCTCTCATGCACACACTCTTCCATATATATGTGTGTCTGCACCACACACAGAGAGAGACAAACATGCACACAAAGCCACCATTCATATCCCCAGTCAGAAGCACTGTAAAAGGGCAATATTGATAGAACACATGTAACTTGATGGGATCAGAAACTACCTACCTGTATGACTACAAAGAAAGTCACCTGACATTGGAAGTGCCCCACCACCAACCTTCAGGAGTGTTTTCTTTCTGTGACTCAGTGATTCACCTACCATGTACCTTTAAGTCCTCAATTAAGTTATCGTTCTAGTAAGCAAAGAGTGTGTGACTGATTTCATTCAGGGTCAGGTCTACCCCATCCGCTGAGGTTAACAAAAGAACTATGTCTTTCTGCCACTGTGCCTTAAATTCCTCTTGCAAGCATTCCTATGGGAACAAATATTTTTATACTAATTGGAGCATACACTGTTTATCAGGGAACCTGATCTCCAAGGATTAAGAAAGATCCAGAGCCTCAGAAGTTGCCATTAACTTATTTATTTATTTTCTATACCACTCTATATTTTTAAGAAAAATCTCAAAGCGGTTTACAGCAAATTAAATCTATAAAACATAAATAAAGTTATCTGAAGAAAGTCAAGTATACAGTCAAAGCAGCATAATATAAAACTAAAATATTATCTTAAAAATTTCTAAAAGGTAGATCATTAACAGATACAACCTTATTTATTGGGCTTGCAAGCAACACAGACCACATTTCCAGGGCAGGGATAAACTCAGCTCAGCTGCTTCTCCCGATAGCATAAACTCTTTAACCCTCCCTCTAGCCCTGCAGATAAATCCTTCTAATACCACGTGAAGTATGAAACAAACCACCCTAGTTCTTTAGATTCTTTCAGAAATGTATATTCTATCTTTCTGAATATAAGGGCACTTCTGTACAAAGAGTCGAGAAAAGTCTGTGTACTTCCTCCAAGATCATTAAAATGGCCAACCAAGATTGCTTCTGTCCTACCTTGATTACATTTCAATTGATTTTCTTCCAAAACTATGAAAAGTTTAGAATTTGCAGTGCCTCCACAGGATTGAATTATGGAAGCAATAAGTAAGAGCTGGGTGTCATCAGCATTGTGATGACATTCTACCCCCAAACTACAGCTAACTTCTTCAGGTAGATGTCAAAAGCATGGGAGAGAAGATGGAACCATTCAGTGTCAAAGGTCACATTTTAGGGAAACGGTACCCAGCACCACCTTGTACTTCACGAAGCAGCATAACCACACAGAAAAATGTTGTCCCCCCCAAAAAAAAAAACTTCTTACCATTGTGGTCCAGAAGGATTCTATGCTGGGTGTGGATGAAGGAAATCATCAGAGTCCAAAGAAATTTGGAGGACCCCAGATTTCCCACCCATTTTAGGCTCATTTGGGAACACATGCATTCAGCTCTACCGCCATTGCTGCATTGGTCTTTTTTTTTTTTGCAAATTTTGAGGGCCTCTTTTTGGGGAGTGTTTTCTAATAGCTCAATGCTCATTGTATCAGGGTGGATACCTGACGATCTCCTCCAAATACAAGGTGGATCCATATATTCTCTAAAATGTTTAAAAATATGGCAAAGAACATAGACAGTTCTATTGCATTACAGATATGTTTAAATGAAGAACATGCTTAAGTACTTTACATAACAAGGCTAGAGGACTTGACTAAAATCTAACATGCAATCTAATTAATTCAACAGTCTGTTGATATAGTATTTTATAGTAAATGTGAAAATGCATTCTTATCCATCACTCTCTTCATTGCCTCCTTCACCTCCTTGTTCCTCAGACTGTAAATTAAGGGGTTGAGCATTGGGATGACAAAGGAATAGAACATTGACACGACTTTATTCTGATCTTCTGAATAGTTGGAACTAGGTTGCAAGTAGAATATATAGTCGTTCCATAGAATATGATCACAGCAATCAGATGGGAGATGCAGGTGGAAAAGGCTTTCTTGCGGCCCTTGGCTGACTTCATCTGGAGCACCGTGAAAAGGATGTACAGGTAAGAACTCAGGATTATCAAGAGAGAGCCTAACATATTGATTCCAGCACAAATGAAAACTAGTGTCTCAGCTATGGATGTATCAGAACATGAGAGCTTGAGTAGTGGGGGGCTCTCACAGAAGAAATGGTTAATTTCATTAGACTGGCAAAAAGACAAAGTACCTACCAAAGTGGTATGAATGATTGAGTTCAAGAAACCGGCTGTGAATGCTCCCCCAGCCATCCTGACACATCGGGTGTGTGACATGATTGATGTGTACAACAAAGGGTTGCAGATGGCCACATAGCGGTCATAAGCCATTAGCCCAAAAAGCATGACCTCTGTACCTACCAGAGCAATAAAGAAATACAGTTGGATGAAGCATCCCAGGAAAGAAATGTTTCTCTTCTCTGATAGTAAAGTTCTTAAGGCTTTGGGGGTGATGTTGGAAGAATAGCAAAAATCTAAGAAAGCCAGATTACTGAGGAAAAAGTACATGGGAGTGTGAAGCTGAGAGTCCATTCTGATCAGCAAAATCATCCCTAGGTTGCCCACCACAGTGATAACATAGATCAGCAGCAACAATGTGAAGATGGGAATCTTCAGTTCTGGTACATCTGCAAATCCCACGAAAATAAATTCAGATACAACACTGATATTTTTTGTAGACATTTTTGCAGCTGATTTATTCCTGCTGTAGTTATGGTGATTGAACATGGATCTTTGTGCACCTTCAGATGGGGAAGGAAGTGAAGTCTGCAGTGTAGTGCGCTCCCTATTTTGACATCTTGCTCTGTGAAGAGGTCATTTGACTTCTCCACCCCCTTGCCAGATATTAAGGGTGTGCGTGGACAGAGGCAGTTGGAGATAGAGTGTGCTGAAATGCCTTCAGAAGTCATAACCCAAAATGTCAGAATGTATCACTGTACTTAATAATGAGTATTTCTGTGATTATCAATCCGTACAGGCTACTTGTGCGCCATAGCTTGCAGAGCATGAATTTCTCCTTTATCCTCAATCTGCAAATATAAAAAAACATTATCATAATACCTAGTGATATTGCAAAGAATAGTTATATAATTTAACAAATGTTACTCCCATAGTTCATTAGCGGAATAAATTCCATATAAATTTTAGGGGGAAATCTATTTTTTTCTTCATTTGCACTAATATCCAGCTTTGTGAATATGCATCTTTTTAAAAATCATTTTCAGATTAGATCATTTAATATGCAACTGTTATCTTTAAAAATGCCTTGAAGCTGCAATCCTATGCCTTATTACTTTGAAGTAAGCCCCAAATCATTCAGTAGGCGTTACTTCAGGGTAAACAGGCATCAGATTGTGGTACGGATTTAAGTCAATGTTTTAAGAATTACACAGCTATATATTTTAGTGCTTTATACTACTATTCTCACACTGGTCCAGGATGTCCTAAGCAGGCATG